CTTGGCAGGTAAAACAAGGTCCCCTGTAGACCTAGTGCTGCACACCTGAACCTTGCTTGATCTGTGATGAGGAACGAGGTTCATACGTGTTTGCTTACTGGCTTTACACCGCTTGCTCAAAAGCTGTGAGTTAGTGTTCATTGGATCATCGAATGGTTTGGGTTGGAAACCTTAAAGTTCAGGTTTCTTTGAACCCTTTTTGTAATCCGAATAACCTATGGACAGTTTCAATTTTATTCAGAAATGGTAAGATACTAACCCAAAATCATTCAGGATGATGGGTATCTGTTCACCACACTGAGATAGTCAGGCCTTAAGAGTGAGAGGATGTAGAATGCCAGACTCGTGATCCCCACCACTAAGCTGTTGTTAAGGACTTGGATTGAAACGTTTATAAAATAGTTCATGATGTTTCAATTTTGAGGTAGTGCAGTTAGTAATGGGAAGAGAGATGAACTAAAAATCTTCACCCTGCTTTTAATCGTGTTCATGTTTGTGTATGACTTCGTGGTTGGGTAACATGAAATTTTAAAAAACAGTATGTTGTCAAATGTTTCTATCAACCATGTTGCTTTTTTTCTTTTTTTTTTTTTTTTTTTTTTTTTAAAGAAGTGCTGATAGACATTTCTGGTTCTTAATGGATCTTAAAACTTATGTTACGTATGAATGCTTTAGAAAATGTTAATGGTTCTGCCTCATATATCTCAATTCCTTAAAGAATTACCAGGTACTGTTGCAGTAATTACTTCTGATGGAAGAATGATTGTGGTGAGACTTGTATTTTTTAACATTTTGTTTCTCTCATAGAGACTTCCATGGCAACAAAGACACCATGCTAGGATATTATCACTTGCATGTTCGCACCTTTACACACTTTTTCTTTAAAGCTTTATAGCCGTTATTTTATACTTTATGATTTAAACACTTACTGGTTCTTGCCTGCCAGCATTGTCCGTCGATAAATCTGTGCATGCACATGCTTTGACCTTTGCCAAAAGGGCATTTCCTATAGGAATGCACAAGAAAATGCTTTTCTTTTTTTCTTTTTTTCTTTTTTTTTTTTTTTTTTTTTTTTTATTCAGTGATTTGGCTTCCATCTAAAATGTCCTCTATGTTCAGTAAGTTCTTCACCTTTCATGCTAAAACCATTTCTTTCATGTGGTTACAGAAGAGCATCAGCTGATAATTGCGGGAGAATTGTGGGATTCTGTTTAAGCTTGAAAAGCTAAGGATTGCCAAACTGTTATATGTTAGACTGTATAATGGTTTTGTTTTCTTGCTTCTGTGTTTGGGTTTTGTTGTTGATTTTTTTGTTTGAGGGTTTGGTTTGGGTTTTTTTCCCTTGTATTTCCCTCCACCCATCTTTTATTCTTTTGTCTTTAATATAATAGTATGATCATTGAATGAGGATTATATATTTGTGCCTGTACTTAGCTTTGTACAGACTTTGGAAAGAGAAAACAATACTTCTAGCAGAAAAATGCTAGCTTCGCCAAATCTGCTGTCTGGCTGGAGTCAGTCTGGTAAACATTGTGTTGTGTGCAAGATACTTTCTACCAAAAAGATTGGAATGGAATTGGTATATACGCCTCACTGTTACATGGCTACATAATATAAATGGATATTACCGCTGTTTGAATGACAGTGATTTACATGAGCTTTAAGTTTCTTAGTCAGTTGCTGATACTGCACAAATCAATTATATTATGGTTTTTCAAGTGCATATTGAAATGATGCAGAAATTCTTCTTTTTGTGTGGGTTTTTTGTTTTGTTTTTTTTTGAGGGGGGGTGTTCACAATTTTGTGGAACCAAGCTATATCACTTTCAGAGATATACCACTTAAAATTGCATGTTAAGAATTGTTTCAATATTGCTGACCACAAGAATCCAATTTTTTTCATTCTTCAATTTGCTGATTTGATTTCTGGAAACTTCTGTAGAAGCAAGACTCAAGTTTTTGATGCTAAGTAGTAGTGTAGCTTTCAGGAAGAACACTTGGTAAATACAGATACTTTTCTGAAATTGACTGTTGCTTTTAAAGGTTCATTCTCCAACTGTTTATGTTTAAGCCTAACAATAAAACCTAAATAGAGCATCTGTTCTCTAGTACCTTTGTATTGCAGCCTTGTTTAAGATATCCTTGAGAGCAAAGACGATGAATTTAGAAGGTAATTGGAGTGCTTTTTTTGTGTGTGGATTGTTCTTTTTTCAGGGAACCCTCAAAGGTTTTGATCAGACCATTAACTTGATTTTGGATGAAAGCCATGAACGAGTGTTCAGTTCTTCACAAGGAGTTGAGCAAGTAGTGCTGGGATTATACATTGTAAGAGGTGATAACGTGTAAGTATAGCATATTCTTGTTTAAACCAATTTAAAAAAATTTGGGGGGTGTGTTTATCTATACGTCTTGATACCCTCAGATGTTGCATCTTTATTTTGGTGAGTAACACCTATAGTACTGTCAAAGTTGAAGCAACCAGGGAAGTGGTGAGTCACCATCCATGGGGGAACTTAGAAGACATGTAGATGCAGCACTTGGGGACATAGCATAGTGGTGGGTTTGACAGTCCTAGGTTAATGTTTGGACTCGGTCATCTTAAAGGTCTTTTCCAACCTAAATGATTCTGTGTTTTTGTGCTAAATAGCAAATATCTATGCTTCTGTTAACATTCTGTTGTAATGTTAAGATTCTGTTAGTATAGATTTACTGAGTTATAGGTTGACCAGCTCATGTACTGCCAGCCATCTAGGAAAGGTCAGTATAAAGCTTAGCATTTTCCTTTCTTCAGTCTAGGCATTGTGTAAATGTTCTTTATTCCAGCCTGTGAGAAGCAGGATCTGTTGACTGACAAAGAGATAGAAGAATGAACAAAAAACGAGAATTTGTGTGCAAAAAGTCAGCAGTCTGGTTTACAAAGCTGACTTTTAACAGGATTTCTTTAGATGAAGTGTTCCTAGAGAACACTTTTTATTACCTGGGAAATGCATGAAGGTTCAGGCTTGACAGAGTAACAACTGTTGAAGCTGATGTAGTAACAAGTCAAATGTATGAGTTGATATTTGATGGAAAATGCTCCAACAAAATGCTCATTAAATGCCGAGAAAAGTAGCTCATGTGCCAAACATGTAGGAGGGATACAGGAGAAGTGGAAAGACGGCCTAGTAAGTGGGCCTGCTAGGAAGGTTACTTTTGCAGCAGCATTCTGAAACTGATGGCAAAAAATGAGCTTATTTTTTTATCACAACCAGAAAAAGAGAATGTCATAGTGACCAACCTTTGAGTCTGGATAAGAATTTTAATCTTCTAATGGATATTTCTGTACAAAAAAATGTCAAGACCTAGACTTATATCTAAGTGTGTTTATCTAGCATCATTGAGAAGGTGATCATTTTGGAAACTTTATTCTCTTTTGACTTAAGCTTTTAAGCAAAAAAAAGTAAATTGGCAAATGTACAAAGGTAAGGCTAAGCATGCTACTTGCTAGTAACTTTTCAAATAGTACAAATCATAGAATACCAGGTTGGAAGGGACCTCAGGGATCATCTGGTCCAACCTTTCTTGGCAAAAGCAGGGCCTAGACAAGATGACCCAGCCCCCTGTCCAGCTGAATCTTGAAAGTTCCCAGTACTGGGGAATCTACTACTTCCCTGGGGAGATTATTCCAACAGCTGCTTGTTCTCATTGTGAAAAATTTTCCTCTTGTGTCCAACCGGAATATCCCCAGGATTAACTTGTACCCATTACCCCATCATTCCTTTAAATACTGCAACATGGTGATAAGGTTTCCCTTGAGCCTTCTTTCCTCAAGGCTGAGGAACCCTGTTCAGCCTTTCCTCATACAGCTTCCCAGTCCTTTGACCATCTTTGTGGCCCTTTTCTGGACCCTCTCCAGCCTGTCCACATCTTTTTTTATATAGCGGGGACCAAATCTGAACACAGTATTCCAGGTGTGACCTGACAAGCACTGAGTAGAGTGGGATAATAACTCCTTTATCTCTGCTGGTGGTGCCCTTGTTAGTACAGCCTGTTGGCTTTCTCTGCTGCAGCTGCACACTGTTAATGCTTATTGAGCTGCTTGCCCACCAGGAGCCTCAGGTCCCTTTCCACAGAGCTGCTCCATTTGAAGCAGTAAGGTTCACACTTTAACAGAGGAAGTTCAGGTTAGATACAAGGAAGAAGTTCTTTACAGTGAGGGTGGTGAGGCACTGGAATAGGTTGCCCAAGGAAGTTGTGTATGCACCATCCCTGGCGGTTTTCACAGCCAGGTTGGACAGAGCCTTGGGCGACATAGTTTAGTGCGACGTGTCCCCGCTCATGGCAGGGGTGTTGGAAGTAGATGATCTTCAGGTCCTTTCCAACCCAAACCATTCTATCATTTTAAGGTGTAATAAGAAACTCATGAACAACATATCTAGTACCTTGGAGATTGATGCTTTAGACCACAACAACAGCAGCAGTATTTCAGTCTCACAGGCTACCATATAGTTCAAAACAAGTGTTTTGAAGAATGTTGCAGAATTCTCAGAAAATACTCTAATTAGATTTAAAAAAAAATTACTTTCTCACAAAAATCTTCACTTACTATTGAGTGGCACGGGTAGACACAATTATCTAACAGCATTTCTTCAAGAAGATCTTGATATTTTAGAGTATTGAATATGTATAAGAAGCCAAATAATTGTTTACTGCTTTACTTTTTCACCATACCAGGCTGCCACATTACTCAAAGCATTTTCTATAGAAATGATTTTTTTTCTTTTGGTAACCTTAACAAACTCAGAATCGTATTCATCAGAAGGAATAATTCTGTATCCATGCGACTCCTTACATAATGAAATTTGGCATCCTTGTAGGAAGAAGCAAAAAACAACTAGGTAATACTAGCTTCAAAATAGGGAACTCGGGGGGCGGGGGGAGGAGAATAGAGAAGCTATTGAAAAGGAAAAGAAACAGTTACGTGATAAAGTACTTCCGGGCATTCTTGTGCGCCTCACTAGAAGTTTGCAGTGAATAGGCAGTGTCAGTCAGGAAAACTCAGTGTGTAAAGGTTTTCAGAAGAAAAAAAGGAACTTCTGTTTTAGAAGTGTGTAATAAATTAGGAAAACCAAAGAAGATATTATTACAGTTTTACACAACTTTCTAGTATTAAAAATTGTGACAAAAAGCTGATTAAAACCCCCAAACCTCTCAAATACACGTATGTGTTTTGCTGCATGAGAAGCAGAAAGCCTATGAAAGAGACAGCAGGAGTGGTGGCAGATACTGTTTACATCTAGAGGAGTAAGATCTTTGAAAAAGCTGTATTTCTACATGTGAACTAAAGAGAAACTTTTGCTTTGTCTTAAGTGGTTTTAATCTAAGGAAATGATTTAAATTTAATTGTCACTTTGGAAAAAGCTGATAAATAGTAATGAGTATTCAAGATCAAGTTTTCATGCAAGAATTCCAAAGGGACTCAAATTTGCTGGTCAGTACTTGAATATTCAGTTGGCATAAGCAGTTTGTATTTGTTGTCTGAGCTCACAACACGGTGAAGCTCTAGGCAGTGATGGAACTAAGAAAGCTACTTGGCTGACCAGATTCTGTTTCAAGGCAAGTTAAATTCCTCTTTAGTTTCCAGTGACTGTCGTGGGAACCTAGACATCTGTACTGGGATGTCTTCACTCTTAAGCTCAGTCTCACTCTGGTCTCTGGCTGTGTATTTGTAAATACTGATTCACTGGGAAGAAAGAATATTAGGGATTACTAGGAAGAAGACTAAAACAGTAGACATTGTGTCACTGCATTAACAGCTGGTGTGTCACTGTCCTTACAGGGGTGCAGTATGAAAATGGAGGAAGACTGCCAGTGAGAATAAGTAAAGGTATAGGATGTTTTCTGTCAAGGGAAGGCTGAATAGGCAAGGGCTCTTCAGTTTGAAAAAAGCATAGCTATAGTGTTTACTGGTTGCTGTGAAATTGGGAGTAGTAGAAGGAAGATGGGAAGAGAATTACTTCATTTAAATTACTGTAGGTTTTACTGCTATTGAAAATCAAAGATAATCCAATAACAAATTATGTATAAAGGTGCTTCATGGTACACTGTAAAACTTCATTGGGGAACTCACTGTTGCAAGATGTAGCAGAGACCAAAAATACAACTTTATTCAGAAAGCTATTGGATGGATTAATATAACAGTTTCTGGTGGCCGTTAAATCATTTTGTGGATGCACCCACTAGCTTGTAAGTCTTTGAAGCAGCAAATGGAAGGGCACGCTGGAAGGATTAGACCCTTTGTTCTTATGTTCCCTTTGGGTTAGTTCCCATCCTAAGCTAGTATGACATCCATTACCTTAGCCATATTTTCTCTTTAAAGCAACTTATACTGAGTCCAGTAGTGTTTAGTCCAAGTAAGTCTTAACAACACTTTACTAGGGGGTGCTGATGGAAATTGCCATGTTTATCTGATGTCCTATGCACTTACAAATTGTTAGTTAGACATTCCTCTTGAAGATTATTCTCTCTCTAAAAGGTTTCCAGCTCTTATTTCAGATGCTAACCTACTGCCTAGAACAGACCAGCAGTACTTGGTTCTTATCTTTAATAAAAAATAGTAACAATAATTAAAATAACAGTAAATTAAAAAACCGTAAAACCTCCTTTAGAATGTACTTAGCCATAAAAATTTGAAGTTCAAATGACAGAGCTCTGCAATTTTAAAAGAGTCTTCACCAGGGGATTTCAACCTACTATAATCTGTTTGGTTTTGTTTTGTTTTTATTGCAGTGCTGTTATTGGTGAAATTGATGAAGAAACAGATTCAGCTCTTGACTTGGGAAATATTCGAGCAGAACCTTTAAATTCAGTTGTGCATTGAAAAGATGAAAATGCACAGGGACTTTGTAAATCTTTGGTTGTACAGACCTATTTAACCACGTGGATGATTTTTACAAATTGTGTGTAATTTGTTTGGTCATCAATTTTGTATTATGAATATGTTGAAGTTTTGCATGTAAATTAAAGTTTCTACATTTTACTAAAGATGCTCTCATTGAGTTTCCTGTGGGGTTTCATGCTGCATAATTTCAGTGTGAAATACATACGGGGAAATGCAAGGAGTATCAGTGATAGGCCTGATACTGTGTACGTACCTCATTCTTAAAATAATATCTTATTCCTAAATGTAAACCAAGGGTTCTTGTGTTAACTCGGGATTATTTGGAGGTAGATTGTCTATCAGTCAATTTAAACATCTCTAAATGTAGTTCTGGCTGTAAGTAGATTACTTTTTTGCGATTTATGTTTTTTTTGGTGTGTAGTGTTAGAGGCAAGAATGTTAAAAGCTTTCACAGTCAAGTTAGTGACTTATGCATCTAATAGGGGTTTTTGCTGTTTGTCAAACATTGTTCTCTGGTCCCCAAGACTACTGGAGATGCAGGAATTCTTGGTGCCTTAATGCTTTCAGACAAATTAAATTGGAGAAAGGCAAACTTCTGAGCAGAACACAAATACAAACTCAAATACACACATTTATTTGAAGCTCATTAAATTCCAGACCCGCTCATTCTCTATATTCTCCTCTCAGCAGCTGTCATGTTGCTCAAAATTTGGGCAAGATCTGTAGAAGGAGAATTGCATGTTTGCTTATGTGTAGCCATTGTGTTGGCTAGAGTGTAGTTTAGAAGACACAAGTGTAGTTAGAGAAATTACTTCCTTTGCTTGAAATTTGCCTTAACAGTGAATATAAGGATCAGATGTAATCATAATAGACCTCTTTTTATACATCATCAACAGCCAAGTTCAGTGAGACAAGCTCTGTGCAGTCTAGTGTGTTCTTGGCCACATGCTATTCACTACCCAACAGAAATACTGGTGTGGCAGTACAGGGAGTCAGTGCTACTGCAGAAAGCTGTTTCCCACCTCTTCTAGTGTGCCAACAGGTCCAATATAACACTACTCTGCTCTCCCCCTACACCTGCCCTGTGTATAAACGAGCTGTTAAAAAAAAAAAAAAAAGTATTTTAATGTGTGTATTAAGTGGGATTTTATGCTTTACATTGCAAGTTCACTGGAAACCAAATACAATGAACTGAAGGTACTTATTCTCCATGAAATCTGGCTCTCAATTCTTACATAGGTTGAATACTTGGAGAAGCACTGGAATGACTGAGGAAATATGTTGCTTTATAGCTGAGGAATTATGTTTGAAGCTGAGTTACGGAATATTAATGCATATGGAGACCATCTGCCTCAAACACATCCTCTGCAATTCAGCTCCTTGTTCCTATGTTTCCTTGAGGACTTAAAATTTGATGAGCAGTTTTGTAGTTGAAACTGTTTTCTCTGTCCTTGAAGTGATGATGTCAGATGCAAAGCTGTGAAACTAAGGTTGGTTGGTGGCTGGATGGCCGCACAGAGAGTTGCAGTCAATGGCTCTATGTCCAGCTGGAGACCGGTAACAATTGTGTCCTTCAGGGGTCGGTGTTGGGACCAGTCCTGTTCAACATCTTTGTTGGCAACATGGACAGTGGGATTGATGCACCCTCAGCAAGTTTGATGATGACACCAAGCTGTGTGGTTTGGTTGATAGGCTGGAGGGAAGGGATGCCATCCAGAGGGACCCTGACACACTTGAGAGGTGGGGCAATGCCAACCTTATGAAGTTCAACAATGCGAAGTGCAAGGTTCTGTAACTGGGTCAGGGCCATCCCAGGCAAAGCTAGAGGTTGGGTGTGGAAGTGATTCAGAGCAGACCTGTAGAGAAGGACTTGGGGGTGTTGGTTGATGAGAAACTGAACATGAACCTTGCAGTGTGTGCTCACAGCCCAGAAAGTCAACCATATCCTGGACTGCATGACCAGCAGGTCGAAGGAGGTGATCCTGCCCTTCTACTCTGCTCTTGTAAGACTCCACCTGGAGTACTGTGTGCAGTTCTGGTGTCCTCAATATAAGAATATGGAGCTGTTGGAGCAAGTCAGGAGGGGGGCCATGAGGATGATAAGGGAACTGGAGCAACTCCTGTATGAAGGCAGGCTGAGAAAGTTGGGGCTGTTCAGTCTGGAGAAGGCTGCGTGGAGACCTCATAGCAGCCTTCCAGTACCTGAAGGGGGCCTACAAGGATGCTGGGGAGGGACTCTTCATCAGGGACTGCAGCGATAGGACAAGGGGGAATGGGTTTAGAAGTGAACAGGGGAAGTTCAGGTTAGATATAAGGAAGAACTTCTTTACTGTGAGGGTGGTGAGGCACTGGAACAGGTTGCCCAAGGAAGTGGTAAATGCTTCATCTCTGTCAGTGTTCAAGGCCAGGTTGCACAGAGCCTTGGGTGACATGGTCTAGTGTAAGGCATCCCTGCTCATGGCAGGGAGGTTGGAACTGGATTATCTTAAGGTCCTTTCCAACCCTAACTATTCTATGATTCTGTGAAGCTGATCAGTAAAATCCAAAAACTGGCTGAGTACAGGAACTGCTGAAGCAGGAAAAACAAAATCTTGGAAATAATTTCACACAGATGTTTCAAATGCGCTCCCTTCAGGTGAGTGATTTCAGCTCTTGCATGCACTCTTTCTGTACTGATGAAATAGTGTGTGCAGGGGGTGGGTATATCTTAAAGAAATTAACTTGTAGGCTGACCTAAATTTAGGGCATTCTCAAGGGGACAGAGAAAGGTAAATTTAAACTCCTTTTCAGAAAAGGATTCTAACAAAAGCTGGGTGCTCAAGGCCCAAATATGTTGATGTGCACTGAGTTGTCAGACTGATTCTTCTGCAATGGGATAAGCAAAGGATTGGGATGGTGGGTAGTTACGCAGCCCTGCCATGACAGAGCCTGCTCAGAAGAGCCTGTCTAAAACCTTAAAACTGGCAGCTGTGGCGTTTGCTTATTGTCATGCTTAGACAGCAGCAATGTAAAGCTTTTCAGAGTTGTGGGGTTTGGCTTACACTCAAATTTTGTTTTAATTTCTGCACCAAAATTTACTTCAATTTGATGCCATTGGCTTTGGTTTGGATTTGACCAAAGCCTCTTCTGGATGTACTGGTAAGGAGTCAAAGCCGGGAGACCCATTCAGGCGGGGTTTCCTGAAGTTGAATCTAGGGCCTGATATGCTTCTAAGACCTCTATAGCATGTGTTGGGCCGGGGTGTGTCAGTCGATGTGTGCCAGCTGGCTGGGGTGGAGGTCCTCCTTGCCATTTCCCACTAAGATGTAGCACAGCAAACGTCTCCTAGGATATGAGGAGTAGTAATGTCTGCAAAAAGCCTTTGCTTTATTCTTGCTGGAGTGAAAGTATTCTTGGAAAATAACCCTCTTTTTCAGACTTAAAGGCGCCTCCAGTGAGCACTAACCACTGTGTCTCTCAGATGGTTCCTCAGGGGTATGTGAGTGGCTCTGCTGAGCTAGGAAAAAGGGCTCATAGTCCACAGTGTTCTTGGAAACTGTCTTTTCCTACAAGAAGCCTACATTAAAGATCCAATAAGTAACAGGTAATGTTCAGTAAAATCCAATGAGTCATTACAGAGTAATAAACCAGTTTTACAAAAATGAGCAGGGCAGAGAAAGGTGATGCTAAGGACAAAGGAAGTAATGCTGAATTTGAGGTAACGGTCATATTCCATTAAGTTTCCTGCATTGCCCTAGGTTGATCACTTCCTCTTTTTGTTTGTTTAATGGAGATCTTGACTGCTACTGGAAAAGGATGCTTCCAGTGGAATGACTGAGCTGTCTTATAAAGAGATCAATTAAATTCATTTGGTGTGCCTGAAGCAACAGCAGAAGCTGTCTTCTGTGGTCCAAGGGCAACTTCCTTCATTGCAATCCATGTAAAATGCCTCCATGTCCACTTCATGCATTTGCAGTCAGAGTTCTTCATGGCCTACAGGCAGGTTACTGTATTGAAAGAACATGGATTCTGTTTTGAGGACTTAGTTCCAACAGTGAAGAATTTCTGTGTGACTCAACCTTTACTATCAACTATAGCCTGTTATTGTTAGTCCCTGGAGTTAGTGCTTATTCTTCAATCCTTTTTATCAGTAAAGCAGCTGAGAGACATACAAAACACACTGTGCTAAAGCTGAAGTACAGGTGGTTTGTATGACAGATTTATCTCGTGCCATAGCAAATGTACCAGATGTGTATGCTTCAGTAGGTGCTTTGTACCCGTGGTGACATGCTCTCACCTCTTGGCCTCTGCTGCATGGAGCTGCAGACTGCTAAGAATTTTATTCTGCAGATATATGCATAAATGATCCTAAATACCAGGGTTGTGTTCTCTGTGCATTGCTAAGAAAGGATTTAATTTATTCCACAGTTAATATAATTAATAAACACCAAGCCAAGAGCTGTTATTCCTTTAGGAATTAAATGATAATGACCATGAAGGTTATTTCTCAGGGTAGAAACCTCAGATAAAGATACTGGGAAACTGCAAATGTGAGTCTTGCCAGTGAAACAGGAAGGTGGTTTGTGCCTGCTAGCTTTATTTGTTTTATGGTACATTTTGGTACCTGTGTATGCAGCTCTACTAATTTTTAGTAATTTTGTTCTTATTTCTGCTTTCCAGTTGAGGAAACTGCAGTTTATTGATTAGAATTATGAAAATAAGTCTGTGGATTTTTAAGTGGAAGAGTGTTCTTCAGGTGCAGTAAAGACCCAGAGAATGTGCGTCATATCAGTCAATCCTGTTGCTTAAATAGTAAGGCATACTTCATGCATCAAGTATTCACATATAAAAAATCCCATGAAACCCAGATGTGCTAAAAGGTGGTATATGCACAGACCAAGCCTTCAGATGAGGGAGAGAAAACTTGTACCAGGTTAAAAACATATGACAGAAGATAGTAAAGAGCCAGGCATTTGTCCTAGAACCCCTGTTCCCAATAGCCTCTTCTGTGCTGTATTCTGTCTTAGGGGCCTTTATTTTTACAGGACTTTTTACAGTAGTATCAGAAATGCTGACATTTCTTCCAGTGGCAGCATTTTCCCTGAAGAAATCAAAAGCTCCACTGATGAAGGTGTAAATCAAAGCTGAAAACACAATAGCCTTC